CGATGTGTGACGGAGGTGACATTTCGTGACAGGCGCAGTACTTTGTGCGCGTTAGACGTGTGGACGCGGAAAGATGCGTGGCCGGTGCAGGGAATCGGGAGGTTGTGAGTTGTGGTAGAGGTGAATGTCGCTGTCACATTGGGATTGGCGTTTGAGCGGGTGTCGTTTGGAAAAACTGGAATCGCGAAACTGCTTGGCAGGGTTGCGTGATGTGTGTGCTCTGATGGGTGCTGCCGCTGGACTTTTGGAGGAAGTCTCGTACGAAATGCTCGTTTGGCAGACTTTGACATGTGAGTTTTGGAGGAAGTCTCGTACGAAACGCTCGTTTTTGAGACTTGACGCGTGACTTTTGAAGGAAGTCTCGTACGAAACGCTCGTCTTGCAGCCTCGCAGCGTGACTTTTGGAGGAAGTCTCGTACGAAGAGTGTGCCCTACAGGAGTGTCCCACAAGAGTGTCCTACAAGAGTGTCCCACAATAGTGTCCTACAAGAGTATCCCACAAGAGTTTCCTGCAAGAGTGTCCCACAAGAGTGTCCCACAAGAGTGTCCCACAAGAGTGTCCCACAAGAGTCTCCTACGAGTGTCCCGTATGAGTGTCCCACAAGAGTGTCCCGTATGAGTGTCCCACAAGTGTGTCCCACAAGAGTGTCCGACAAGAGTGTCCCATAAGAGTGACCCACAAGAGTGTCCGACAAGAGTGTGCAACAAGAGTGTCCCGTAAGAGTGTCCCACAAGAGTGTCCTACAAGAGTGTCCCACAAGAGTGTCCCGTAAGAGTGTCTCACAAGAGCGTCCCACAAGAGTGCCCCGCAACCGTGTCCCACAAGAGTGTCTCACAAGAGTTAAGAGTGTCCCACAAGAGTGTCCCACAAGAGTGCCCTACAAGAGTGTCCCACAAGAGTGTCCTACAAGAGTGTCCCACAAGAGTGTCCTACAAGAGTATCCCACAAGAGTTTCCTACAAGAGTGTCCTATAAGAGTGTCCCGCAAGAGTGTCCCACAACAGTAAGAGTGTCCCACAAGAGTGTCCCAAATCAGTGTCCCACAGGAGTGTCCCGCAACAGTGTCCCGCAAGAGTGTCTCACAAGAGTGTCCCTTAAGAGTGTCCCACAAGAGTGCCCCACAAGAGTGTCCCGCAAGAGTGTCCCAAATGAGTGTCCCACAGGAGTGTCCCACAAGAGTGTCCCGCAAGAGTGTCTCACAAGAGTGTCCCTTAAGAGTGTCCCACAAGAGTGTCCCGCAACAGTGTCCCACAAGAGTGTCCTACAAGAGTGTCCCACAAGAGTTTCCTACAAGTGTGTCCCACAAGAGTGTCCCACAAGAGTATCCCACAAGAGTGTCCTACAGGAGTGTCCCACAAGAGTGTCCCACAAGAATTTCCTACAAGAGTGTCCCGCAAGAGTCTCCTACAAGAGTCTCCCACAAAGTGTCCCACAAGAGTGTCCCGTATGAGTGTCCCACAACAGTGTCCCACAAGTGTGTCCCACAAGAGTGTCTGACAAGAGTGTCCCATAAGAGTGACCCACAAGAGTGTCCTACAAGAGTGTGCAAAAAGAGTGTCCCGTAAGAGTGTCCCACAAGAGTGTCCCGCAACAGTGTCCCACAAGAGTGTCCTACAAGAGTGTCCCACAAGAGCTTCCTACAAGAGTGTCCCACAAGAGTGTCCCACAAGAGTGTCCCACAAGAGTGTCCTACAAGAGTGTCCCACAAGAGTTTTCTACAAGAGTGTCCCACAAGAGTGTCCCACAAAAGTGTCCCACAAGAGTGTCCCGTAAGAGTGTCCCACAAGAGTTTCCTACAAGAGTGACCCACAAGAGTGTCCCACAAGAGTGTCCTACAAGAGTGTCATTTGGACATATGTAGCTTTTCGAACGTGTTTGCATTCGGGTTCGTGGGCTCCATCTTGTTTTCAAAATTATCTCGCCCACACCGGTTGATTGAGGCCCAAACGACCAGACAAATTTGTTGAGGACAACAACTGGTAGAATTGAGCAGATCAAATGGAAGGGGGCGCCTAGCATTCCCTCGGAACCTGAGGCGATCCAGATGTCTACATCTAAAGGTGGCCGGATCCAGCAATCACCGTCTGGTCACCCGGGCGAGGGTCCGGATTTCCTTACGCCCCCAAAACTCTGATAAACCACCGCCACTCCAGCGACGAAAAATATGGACATGTCGAAAGAGAGCAGCTCAGATCGTGCTTTCCAAAAAACGTAACTCGAATGTTGGCCCCCTGTCACTCAAGGCCGGCGGGGGCTGCGGGCTGTTGGGTTTGAGGCTGATAATCCACGACCCTGTAGCTTTCCGTCTTCCACTCAGAGCAGGGGGTAACTCTGCGACTCGGCGTATCTCGGCGTGGACTTCGGGCTGTGAGATTTGAGGCGGAAAATTCAAGGACCCTGCGCCCATCTCTGCTCCGAACCTTTGTCGCTCGAAGGCACCTCTGCTACTCGGCGGGGGCTACGGGCAAGGTTTTTTGAAGGAGATAACCTAGGACCTTGCCCGATTTCGGGCTCAAGAAATGATACGATTCATTTCCTGCAATGTCGGAGGCACTCCGGGCGCTTGGCGATCTCTTCATTGCTTTGCTGAAGCAAAGGAGTGTGACGTTTTGTGCTTCCAAGAAACCCCTTTCAGGCCGGCTGACGCTAGAGCCTTCCAAGGGATGTTGCGCGCGTCGGGGTTCACTAGTTTCCTCTTGCCCGGCCAAATAAGCCAGGGGAAGAGGAGGGAAGAACCTCGCCATGGGGTCATGATCGCTGTTCGTTCTGAGATCCCCCGCAAACTTATCTCTCCTAATCAGTCTGAAGACAGCTTGTCTTCAAACTCTGACTCTCCACATCGGAAACTGGCTCGTGGCCGACCCGACCATGGCGCAGGTGGCTGAAAAACATGTGGAAATTTTCCAGTCCGGCCAAGTGGGGGCCAGAGCCTTTCTTTGGGTTGGTGACTTCAATCTTCAAATACATCATGGCCCACTGAACCCACTAGGTGGCAGAAAGATGATCACCTTTTGTTCCAACAAAGTTCAGTTGACCAAGCCCGTCACTCCGCTTCAAGTCCAAGTGAGTGACCATATACCTGTTGGGATTTGCCAAAGCCAAAGCCCTTCTGGCAACCTAGCACTCCAGGTCTCTCTCTCTCTGTCTCTCTGTCTCTCTGTCTCTCTGTCTCTCTGTCTCTCTCTCTCTCTCTCTCTCTCTGTGTCTGCCCTTTAATCTTTGCTCTTGTGGCAATGTTGTGTGGATTCCATGCTTGGAAGACGTTTTCCACTACCACGTAGATGTGCGTTGCAGACACCCCTTCAATTTTCAATAGATCACAGGTTGCGGCCAATACCCCTCTTTGGTGATGTGCACCACTCGTTGTTAAGAGGGGGGGCAGGGTTCTGGCACCTCAAAGAGAAAGCAGCAAGAGCAGGACGATCTTGTGGGAACTCATGCCGGACAGAGCAAGCAGAATCGAACTTGCGCTGCGGTCGTAGCTGATGAACCGCCGCCCATCGATGGATGAAAGTGACCGGACGAAACAAGCAATTTCACTGCTTGATGTTCTGAAAGCCCTGGTTACCAAGTTTTCGGGTGACGCGTCACCGTCGCGCGAAAATACCCGCAAAGTTCGATTTGCCAGCTAGCAGGAATTCTGTGAGCCAACAGGGCAAGAGACAGAAAAAACCTGATGCTGCGCAAAGCCTGCAAGCAATGGTGATGATAGCTCCAACCCTTTTCTTGAGACGTCCTCCAAAAGTCATTGGTTTTGGAAAGATTCTTTTGCAAATTTCATGCCTTCAGCCAATGCTGAGAAGGAGAGCACCCTGACAAGTGCCTTCCTGACAACTGCGTTGGCGCACTTGTCCTTCTAGAAAATGCGCAGGATCTTCAAGAGCTTGCTAAAGGTGGCCAAAGGCTGGCTGCTGCTGAGAGCCTCGCTCTTCGCAGTGAACAAGTGCTACGCTGGCTGCGTTGGTGGAAGCAACAGGCCCTGCCTTCTGACCCGTTCTGCGACAAACGTTGGAGGCAGTTGGATTTAGCGCTGGCGATTTTCGTCCATATTCCCTGCGTAGAGGAGGCGCCGCTTGCTGGTTCCAGAAGTGGGGGCACCCAGACAGAGCAGTGGTGTATGGCCGCTGGCAAAATGCCAGGACGGCCCGCGCATACATAAATGACGGATTGGCTGTTCTCGCAACACCAATAGGCGCTTTCGCCAAATATTTTTTGATTTCATTTCACCAGCCATTGCCTCCGCTTGAGCCCGCTTTGTCAACCAGGACAGGGGGCCGTGGAAGTAAAGGTAAATCTTCAAGACGGAAACGCAAGAGTAGAAAAAGGGTTTGAAAGAAGTCTGGGAGAAGTTTCTCCTCTTCGTGTGAGTTTTGAAGGTAGACTTGGGGTTCTCCGGGTTGGCAGAGCAGCCAGGGGCAACTCTTCCAAGTCTCTCAGGCTGAAAGTCTGTTCGGTTTGGTGGCAGTCTTTCGGGGAGACTGCAGATAGGAGTTGAGAGGGCTCCTTCTTCAGATTCCGTTTTTTGTTGACTAACTTGGCCTTGCAAAGCAAGCAAAAACGTGTGAGTGGCCTGAGTCTTTAAATATATATATATATATGAGATATGATCTATGTGTGTACGCACAACATCCTGTTGTACTGTTTGCGCGTGTACAATTTGTACGTAAATGATCTTTTTGGACGCGCAACATCGTATCTATTGATCGGGGCAACGCATATGCTGGAACAACATCTTTTGTTCTGTGCGTTTCGAAGCGTGAGTCTCCCCACTTGTTTGCCTGTTTGATGGCGCTTTGGTTGCGCCCACTCGCGGTCCCGCGGTCAGAAGCTTTCATGGACTTTTTGTGCCTCAGTTTTTTGAATTTTTTGTCTCAGATGTTTAAGTGTTGAACGTTACTTGCTATGTGGGACTGTGCCAGTGTATCTGAATATGTTGCGCTGTGATCCATGGTTCCGAAACATGAGCACCATGTCCCCATCAACATATGTTTTTCACCCAGGTGCCAACGTGGAGTGCTAGCCGCAAAGATTATTTGGTGGCAGGGGTTCGCTTCTTGGTGTTCAGATTCCGGCTCGATTCTTGGTGGTTTGGAGTGCCTTTGCTGGTACGAGGGCCTTTGCTCTCTTTGCCCGTGGTTTTGGCCACTGACTATCCACCAATCCAAGTTATCGCTATTGCCATGGTCATGGCCGGCTTGCTGGTCACTTGGAAGCACACGCAGCCAGGACAAAACATGCTTAAACGTGGACTGACACCCTTGAGAAAGACTAGAGCCAGGAATATGTGGAAAATCCGTTGTTGCACGGATTGGAACTAAACTTTGCAAAACCCTTCTGCCTTAGAATCGCGCAGAGGTGCAAGTATGTACAAGCGTGTGTTTTCCTGAAACATGTGATTTTTCATTCTTCGCCGAGCGAAACTGTGCCATGCTTTGTGGTGATAGAGCCGATCTGAACACATGCCGTACCAAGTTTTATCACTGACAGAAGTGGTGATGCCCTCCATGCAAAGAAGGATGTCAAGAACCAACTTGGGTGTGGATTAGAATTGGAGATCCCTGCCCCCCACCCCCTGTAGTTTGACCGCCCAGGTAGGTCAACCAAGACTAATTTCCCATTATGCAACTGTGCATAAGACCATTTTGGAGCAAAATGCCAAGTTGGGATGTAAACCACCATTCCACTTTATTTGCCTGGTTCCCATGACACACTGTCAAGCGATCTACACACCGCAAGTCAACATATGACGGCAGCCGTGTGAAACATGCAAATGACTTGCCGTTCAGACACTACAAACGAAAACAACGCAAAGATGTCACGGCCGGATCAGGTCCCAGAGCCCAATTTGGTGATCCAAATTCAATCAATGTGAGTAGCTGCTAACCTTTTTCCACTTCACTTCATGTGTCCACGAAACATATGACTTGCTACGTGAAACCGTTTCGGTTTCACGTAGATGGTTGCTATTCCTTGTTGTAACATACCAAGAGACCCAAGAGACCAAGGGTCCTGTTTGCGCCCGATATATCTCTTTCGTTCGGGCCGTGGGATGCTCGGATGCGCGCGGAGAGCGGTAGACTCGCTTGGAATAATCGCCGGTAGGTCGACGAAGGTATCGTCATGACACATTTGTACATGACGCATCTCCAAGCGTTTGTTACTTTTCACCCCCAAACCGGACATCACAGTGTGTTTCCGGGGTGTTGAGAGCACGAGGACCGAGTGCAAGTCGTGTGACAAAGCTATCCTGGTTTTGAAGAGCCACTCATTCGTTTCTGAGGTTCTGCAGATGCTCTTCTGGCCGTGGAAGGCGCTTGTTCCTGCTCGAAAGACACATATCGCAGACGTGTGAGGAACTTGTTTGTTCCGGCCCAAGAACAGGAAAGAGTTTTGTGGACCTTACTGTCTGGTGATCACTGATGGTGGCAGTAAAATGTTGTTTCTTGTTCGCTGGGGGTGGGAGTAATGTATTGTTTGTTAGGTATTTATTGTTGTATGCTCGATGCATCTCGCCTTGAGATTACTGGCAGGTATATTGTTTTGTAGATTCTTGGTAGGTCTTTTTCCAGTGCGTGGTACTTGGTTCATTCTTCGGTGGCAACAATGATGCTATTACAGAAAACAAGGATTTGCCTTGAGAATGCCACTTCGTCTACAAAGAGCAACAGATCGATCTCAACAACCTGCTTAAACTTGCGTATCATTGTAGGTGCCCATGCTGAACTTGACGGACTGCACTGTCACCTTCTGTATCACTCTGCTGGTCACCACATCCAGTTTGCACCTCAAGATTGTTGCCGCTCGGTGGTATGGGCGCACCGATAACGATGACCCCATACTGCATGGCATACATAATTGCATGGCATACTGCATACCTCTATTTACTATGGAGTTTTCAAGTCGCACTGCCAGTGGTTGAATACCTCTGGCAGACCGCGCAGCTCGCTCTCCGCAGCTGGAAACCGGGGGAACCGCTCGATTCACCGCTGCTTCTTTCGGAGCCGTTCGGCGCTTTGCCCCTTTGGACAGGGGCCGGCGGAGGGCGACCAAAACGGGAGGAGACGTTTTCGTTCGCGGGTTCGTGTGCGAAAACGAGTGCTGCCGATAACCGAGACGTGAGAGATCACCGAAAGACGCAGTGACCGAAGATGTCTTGGTGATTGGAGGTGTGTTGATTTTTGGTGATACCATTGGAGGCCGTCATGTGAATGTGCACCGCGGATATTGCTATGTGGGACAGGCTTCTATTCGTGTTTCTCAAAGAGCCAAGGGTCATGTTCAGGTCGCTTCGCGATGACAACCGCCCGCACCGTTTGGCTTCGAGCGATAGAGAGAGAGAGGGCGCAAGGCAAGGTAGTCGCCCAAGGCAAAACGCCAGATGATGCGTAACCGAATGAGCAGGACTCTAGATGGTTTATATACTGTAAAATTCGATTTGTACCATGTTCAAGCATATTAGTTGTTGTAATCACTCCATTTTTCGACTGCGTTGAAATGGTATATTTTTTAGGGACCCAACTCATGTCCAACAATGCCTGCAAATTGCTTATTTCCTATTCACTTATTTCCTATTCACTTATTTCCTATTCACTTATTTGCTACCGTTCATCTCTAGGTCCTATGTGGATCATGCATGTTGGTACGGCTTGTTGCAATCATTCTGTCTTTCGACCCCGTTGAAATGGATCCAGGATCCAACTTCTATGAAACCAATGCCTTTTTGACTTGACATGTGCATGTTTAATCCAACCATGCATGTGGATTGCTGTTATTTTGTGTATACTCCTTGTTTTCCATTCATTGCATTGCATTGTTCATCGCTAGGTCTCAAGTCGATCACCCTTACTGTTGTTTCATCATTGCTTCATGTGCATCACTAGGCGCCTGAATGGCAAGCAAACGACTCCTTCCAACAGTTTGGGCCATTTCTCTCTGAAAACATGCCACTTCATGTTCTACACCCTCCACTCCTAGATCATACTATGGCACACCACTTCCCTGTGTGTTTGCATGCTTTCTCCTATCACTCCCCTCTAGCCACACCTCACAATGGCGGAGATGCAATTTCGTTCCCAACGTTCTCAATCGAGAAAGGCCCCCGCCCCCCTAGCTAAGGCTATAGGCACTGTCTACAGTAACACAAAAACTTTCCTCGGCAACTTCTGTGCGGGCGGATATTGTGATGCCCTTTGAGCCCCGTTCGTAGCGTCCGTGCTCCGTTCGTAAGGCCATGTTCGCCCCGATCGAGTCGCGTCCTCTTGTTCCTGGTAGCTTCGGAGCAGCTCCACTCAGGAAGGACCAATGATGCACTTCGCTGAGGGTGTCTCAACAGCAATGTTGACTCTTCCCTGCACTATGAATGGATGAGCATGTGAAGAAGTAAGCACACCTGAAACTGGGATATGTGGGAAAAGCCGGCAATGATCGTATTATTTGTGATCAATGCTTGGTCATTTTCCTATGGAAGACGCAAACAAAACATCTCCTGCCAAGGAGTGGCATTGGCATTGCACTTGGCATCATGTGCTTGATGACGGGAAGCGCTTTGATCTATCGCTCTGCGCTGGGAGGGAAGAAGGACCCGACCTGAGCTGCGACACACCGAGTAGATCAACCAGTCGACCGTCGGACCTCTCCTGGTGCCACCCACAGGCAAATCGCTTTCCGCTCTCAGAATGCTTGGCTTTCCTTTCTTTCGGGAGGGCCGCAAGGGTGACCTCCGCCGCAGGAGCTTCGAATGTTCAACCTGGGGGCGGTTCCCACCTCTGCCAAGCTGGCCAAACGGATGAAGGCAGGGGCTGTGCTTCATGGCCTGGTCTCTTTGACATGAAAACAAAGGCTTCAAGAGGAATCGAGATCGCTGGACCAAGAAGAAAGCTTTCAGACTTTTTCCTGGACGCAAGATTGGGCACAAGAATCTTTAGGTTTTCGTTTCCCTCGCAGAAGTTGGCTGATGTCCAACATTGAATCTCAGTGGGTATGGCAAATCCCAATGCCCAATCGAAGGGACAAACATTCGAGGTTCCAAGACTGGTCATGTGAGCGGGATGGTCCAAATCGGCGGAGAGGGGCTCTGCAGCTTCGACGACGAGTTTCTGCGTTTGCAGGAGATGTCTCTGGTTTTGGAGCGAATGGAGACGGAGGAGCTTTCCACTGCGAGCCTAGTCTGTGCCGAGGAAAGGGAGCCTTCCACCCTCGAAAGTGGGATCAGTTCATAGATGGCCTTTTACTTGGGTGATTGATAGTGGCTTCGACCTTCGCAGCCAGCAGCCGGGTATCTGGCGGCCAGGCCCCTTTATGGTTTCCAAGGGTCGGACATCACTGGGTCAGTTGGGATGTTGGTCATGCGATGTTGAGCACTGAGATCTGAGGATGTGCATGATGTTCATGGACATCCGGCAGCCTTCAGAACCACTAGAAACCACTCTTTTTTGCCATCGCCAACTTTCTATTCTGACTCATTTGGCGGAGTCTTAAGGGTCCTTTCATTTTCAGGGACCACTAAAAACCATTTTGGCTGACATAGGCAACTCGCCCCGGACATGAAGCCCCACACGCCTCGCGATCGCTGCAGCCTTTTGGCTGCCGCTCGTTGCTCAGGTTTTCCCAGCAGAAATCATAGCAAGATATAGCAAGAATTGCGTTGAACTGAACTTGGGCTTGCGTCAACTTGGTGTTACAGTTCCCTTCAAACTTCAAATCACAAGTTTCAACGGAGAGGAAAGCATAGGCCCACCTCATGACCACTTGGGCCGGCGATGCTTCAATTGATCATCGTCGCACGCCCGGTTTTGTGAGGCTTGCAGCTTTGGCCATCTTCGACATGAACAAAGTGACCATGGCCGTTACTCTCTTGGCCACTGAGGTGAATGTGCTTGTTTAGTTTCAGATTTGAGCGGTAGACCGGGTAGACCTGCCTGGATTTGGTTTTCGTGTCTTCAGTTCGTTTTGGTATGTCTTGGTGAGTTGCTTTCTCAGTGGGAGCTGACAAACCGCGCAGTCAGTCACATCAAAATACATCTCCTAAAAATGTAACTCATCTACAGATGCCCTCATCCTTTAGTCCATTAGTGATGACCTAGACAATGGACGGTCAAACTTTCTCATGCTTGGAGTGAATGGGGCATGGGCACACGAGCTGCGAGCCATTGGGACGTCATCAAACATGTAGCCGTTCAGGGAATTTAGGATGTTGTGGTCATCCTCGTGTGAGTTCTTTTCCCTTTGGGCGAGATGGCTGACAGTTGCTGACAGTTGCTTTTCATCGAAAAAGTGTGTGCTCATGACGGGTATGTCAAAGGCCACATAAGAAGGCCCCCCCCCACCGTGTTCTCATTTCCCAAGCGAAACCGACTGGTGGTTCCAAGAGCCTAGCAGACAAGAAGCTCGGCAGGTCCAGCGGAGCTGCTCAGTAGGTCAGTAGGTCCAAACACTCAAACAAGCGGTACAAAACAGGCCCAAGTTCGTGCAAACATGGAGAACCGGTGGGTTCTCCTCATTTATACCAAGTTCCATGCCAAATTCCTTATAACGTCACTGGGTATTTCCGTACGTCACTGGGGCAGCGAAGCTTCTGAATTTCTTTGCGCTGAGAGGTGGCACCACCTGCAGAGGACGCTGTGACGTACAAGTTCAATCCGTGGCTTCGCAGCAATAAATCCGTGGTGGGGATTCTTCGACAAGAGGTTTAAGATTCCCAACATGGGACCCATATGGTTCCCTATATCCGGAGTAGGCAAAGAGAATCTTCTTCCACTTGCGTTGGTGGCTATCAATTAAAGAGGCACTCCTCTTTCCCCAAGCAACTTTGGTGCAAGTCTCGAGTTTTCGTGTGTCGGGAAATTCGATTTCAGGATGGAACTTGTGACCTAACAGGGCCATTGACACTTACAGTAATCTGCGGGTATCTAGCTCTAAAGAAGGTTTGTGTAGAGTGTAGCTCTACTGTTCCGAGGGTGTTCTTGGTCTCTATAGTGTTGGATCTTGATTAGTAAAGGGCCCCCCCTCCCTCAAACAAATGGAGGAGCCTCCAAAATAAACTACCACCAAACCAAATCTGGGTTCCTGGGAGGATTCCTTTTGTATATAATTGATTGTAGTATTCATTTTCCTTTCTGAAGTTCTTTGTACAATTGAGGACCCTTAAAACAAACTCATTATTGAGGATCACGGGCCTTCCTGGTCTACTACCTTGAAAAGTTGTTTAGGAGCAATCTTTACATAAAGGATTGATTAGGGAATTGATGGCTTTGAGAAGCTGTGAGTTTTGAAGAAGAACTTGAGAAACCTATACTTATCAATACTCTCAGCAAGCCAACCATTGGCTTAGTATTAAGAATTTCTATTTGTATTTTTCTAAAGGACATATAATTAACCCTAAATATTTTTTAGGTACTGTAATAAACAATTAGGATCCCAAAAACATTAGCATAATAGAGGACCCTAAAACAAACAGGGTCTCAAGGATTTTTTTCCCCCAAAATAGCATTCCAACATTCAGAGAGATTTGTTGCACATCTGGGACAGATTCTAACTGAAATCCACAAACGTTCTGTTGAACACCTCCAGACCTTGAAGGTTTCAGAACGTTTGTAGAAAGGATGCTTCCACCTGCAGCATGGATTGATAGGATGGCGCCATCCGTGTGATGTGGCGGCAAAAAACATATCGAGTAAGCGCCTGTAAGGACCAAGCAAGGTGTCCATGTTTCCCTTTCACCTCCCTGGTTTAGCTTCGCAGCGTGACTGAGGCGCATCAACTCGTCTTCCTTCGACCCGGCCCTCACCAAGAGCAAGCGATCCTTGCGCTCAAGCTCATCCGATTTGCAGGCAGGTGTTCTACTACACGAACTGCAGGAGAAGTTCAGGACCTGTATCAACAACTTGTTCTCCATAACCTGTTGTATAACATGTAGGACAAGTTCAGGACCTGTATATCAAAATCAAGAAATACAGGACGTGCTCACTTGAGTAGTCTTTGAATATGAGCTGCCTCTTTTCACTTGGGATGCTCCTCAGGCCAAGCCGGTGCAGGAGCCGAAGCAGTCACAGGCTGATGTTTTGCAGGATAACAACGAGCCGCAGGAGCGACTTGGCATCTGAAGTGAGTCGTGAGGACTGGTCCTCAAAGTCCGAAAAGGAGACTTCCAACTCTCAGGCTTCTGGAGGAACTTAGAATCCCGAACGTGAAGAACGACCACTGGTCTGACCAAGCCATCCCTTAAAAAACAGGTTTGCCAAGAGCTTATTGGGGAACGTTTGTTGCGGAAGTTGTCCCTTTGTGCAACACGCTGTTGGGAACTCTCATAGACTCTACTCTGTGCGCTGTTGGGAACACCAAGTGGTGGCCTACGTCGCAAACACCGGAGCGGCGCCGCTCCACCGGAGCTCCACCGGAGCTCCTTTCTGAGTGAAACGCTGCCAACCCCATAGCTTCCAACCTACTAGCGATCGCCTCCAAAGCTACTAGCGACCTAGTAGCGATGGCCTCCACCCTACTAGCGATGGCCTCCAACCTACTAGCGATGGCCTCCAACCTACTTGCGATGGCCTCCACCCTACTAGCGATGGCCTCCACCCTACTAGCGATGGCCTCCAAGCTACTTGCGATGGCCTCCAACCTACTAGCGATGGCCTGCACCCTACT